CTTGATGCCCATACCTTAAAGTGTATATGACATGAAACGAAAGAACTCTTTAAGCTGTAGTGTAACTTATTTTTCAGTTTCTTTGTTTTGATGGTTTGTTCCCGAGATATTTCAATTTGTTTGATATGTAAACGAGTGAGAATATGTCCGCTAATTTACGACGTCACGTTGGTTGCAAGCTCAACTTACACTGGTTATAAATCTATTAACTCTAAAAACTGTAGATATCTGTTCACGTTTTTCTACAGTGATTCATCAGTGAGTTACAGTGATTCTTCATTTACCATTGAGTGAAGTTTGAAATTATCATCTTGTATGATAGCAGTGATATTCAACCATTTTGAAGACCTTGCAACCAACATGACGTCATAAATTAGCGGACATATTCACACTCATTTACATATCAAACAAATTGAAATATCTCGGGAACAAAACATAAAAACAAGAAACTGAAAAATAAGTTACACTACAGCTTAAAGTGTTCTTTCATTTAAGAAAATAAGAAATTTCATGTCATATGCACATTAACACGGCAGTACCCTAGTATGTATATATACAAAAACTTGTGGTTAGAACTCGACAACTGGACTCCGTGGCTCAGTTGGTTGGAGCACTGCACCGGAATCGCAGGACCACAGGTTTGATTCCTGCCAGAGGAAGTATAGTTGCATTTTTCACAGCCGTGTTCCTGGTTAGGTCTACTAAAATTTGCACTCGATCATTTACATCTACAAAATCCATCAACTGTATGATTAAGTTTAGTTTACCTTCGCCATAACCTTGTTTCTTTAAGATGCTGCACATAAATACCTCCACCGCTCTCATTTTACTGTCTTCGGTGTACTTATCCTGTTGTAACGTTAGCAAGAAACACATGCTTCAAGCAGTGAATGTAAATTACTAAATTATGCAAGAGTGTAATATATGAATATTGGGATTATTTTCTCAAAACTAGTCATGTGCATTTTGGGCATGGAAATTACATCTCGTGTTTCTGCTTAAAACCAGGGTGTCCACGGGCCTTGAAAATCCTGGAAAGTCCTTGAACTGGAAAAAAATTCCAGGACTGGAAAGTCTTTGAAAATCAGTAGAAGTCCTTGAAAGTCCTAGAATTAATTTCGTTAACCTCCAGCTGTGCCAACATTAGTGATTTTGATTAAAATACTGAATAAAGTGAATTATTTACGGCAAATCCGGATCCGCGCCATTTTTAATAGTTCTAGGTCCTTGAATTCACTAGGAAAAAGGCCTTGAAAGTCCTGGAAAAGTCCTTGAATTTCGCCTTCACCAAAGGGTGGACACCCTGCTTAAAACATCCAGGCTAGTCCATATACCGTCCGGGTCAGCGTTATTAAATTTATCATAACATCGATCGCTGGAAGGCCTAACCTTACCCAGCCCTAATCCTAGCTATATGCTATCACAAATTGAGACTGTAATCCTGCACATGCATATAAAGAGTTAGAGCAAAATTAATCCAGCGATGAAAAGTTCAGGTAACTGTTTTAGGCTTAGTCGAATGGAGAATTCGATCATTTTTACAATCGTTGACAAAGCGTCAAGGACGATCTACAGTATCAAGGCGTATCAAAGTATATTAATTTTAAGTTTTGCTGCAGAGAATTCATTCAGATATAAAGTCACTCCGCATGACATATTATGGCTGACATGATTCGCCACAAGGTTTATGAATTATTAATGAGTATTTTAAGAATAATTAAACCACAGTCTGTTTGCAACTTACATTTTTCTTTCCAGTCGTGTGTGGGTGAAGATTGAAATATTCTTTCATCTGTTCTTCACTGGCAGCGGTTGGAATATCAATCTTGTTACCAAGGATGAGTACGGGACATTTTTCTGTCATCGGTTCACGGAGCAGTCCCTAAAAATTTTCGCAATCAAATAACTAAGATTATTTAATACACAAGGTCCGGATATGAGGTATTCTGCAATCTGATTGGTTCTCTACTAGCACGATATTAGCTCATACTAGATCATAGACAAGATACGCACATATCTGAAACTGCAATACATACGAGTCAGCGGTATTCCATATTTAAAATTTAAATAAATTAGTGCGCGAAATTGGAAAAAACGCGCGAAACCAAAGCAATATGGCTTCCATCGAAGAGTATAGCGATAGTGACCGGGTGCTTGTTTGCGCTTCACCGACATCTTGCAAACGAGAAAACGGCAAGTTGTTCGCTTTTTATAGCCTTTACAGGATTAAAACACAACGAAAAAATTCCCACAAATTGTTTACAGGTTAGCAAATGAATTTTTAAAATTTAAAATGGTTAAAAATACATATTTTGGAAAAAATACTCGGCCGAAAGAGCGAAGATAAAAACATATTAAACAAAATAGAAAAATATTGAAAATATCCGAAAAGCAAAGTCTGTGAATTCAGACCTTGTGTATATAATAAAACAGTTATTCCACTCACTCTCGTCGAATATGAGCGATAGCTGATTCGGCGCTACGCGCCTCATTGGCTATCAGCTCATATTCGACTCGAGTTCATAGAATAACTGTTAATTATTTGATATAGATTATCCTCAATATTCCAGGATTATACAAATGTATAAAATTCTTTATATTTGTAACGTTACGGGCAGTTTTACTAAAAGTGGGGCAGATTGGTGAAAATTATAGAACAATTGTGCATTTCCAGAACAAGATTTTAAATCTTCTTACGTCTAATTCTCTCTTTGCCTCTCGAAATCTTTCCTTGTCCGAAGCATCAATAATAAATACAATCCCATCAACCTCCCAATAGTAGTCGCGCCACAGTCGACGAGCTGTAAATGTAAACTGTTTTAGTAACACGTGCCTCTATGTTTCGCCAATCGCTTCTTTCTTATTTTCTGGTGTTAAAATTACCCAAAGCCATACAGATATGGCTTTGTGGTCATTTTAACACCAGAAAGTAAGAATAGCGATTGGCGAAACATGAATGTATATATAGTTGGAGACGTGTGACATGATTTTATTCGAATTTCAAGGAGATGCATGGGGGATATATAGGGGCAGGGGTCGATCCTTACCAGAAAAAAAATACTGTATCGTCAGTTGAGTATTCGTTCACACACATAGCCCGCTTCCAACAGCTAGTTCACCGTTTTCTATTGCTTTAGTAAATAACCAGTCCACAATTTATGTATACTATAGGCAACCATATACAGTATAAGCATTTATTTGCAAGCTCCATTAGGCAATTATGTTATAGTTCAAAAACTAAGCGTTTGCGACAGTTAGCCCACGGCCTATTGCCCAGAAAATTAGAAAACGTATAAAATGCAGGTTAAGAATCAATGGGAAAATGCAAAATTTATAATGCTAAATAATAAAGCCTCCATCTACAACAGTAGCTGATTTTTTTGTTCCATCTCAAGTATAAAACAAACGTTATTCTTATATTAGTTGTTATACATGTGTTGGAGACTGTTATTGTTATAGACACGGAATCCATATACCACAGATACATACAATGTTCATCAGTTTTATGCAAAGTACTAATTCACAGCAACAACATAGTCTATATACTAATCTAAACAGTGTGAGTTTTAACGTTGTCATCAAGAATTAATGGAGAAAACTATACCTTGTTCGTGACCACCAACATCAACTGCTAAAAAGGTCGTTTCGCCCAGACAAAATTCATCTCTGTCTATGGGAAATAAATACATTATCAGTTATGCACTGCAGTATAGTACTGTATTATATGTTTGAGTAATGTTTGACTAATTGCCCGCCAATAGACCACTGAGCTGTATAATAACTGGAGGACCTGCTCCTATACTTCGTTCAGTCAACAAAGTGTCGCCAAAAACATGGCGGATTTTGAGTGAAAATGACGCCATTTCCATGACAACACTTCCAAAATTCTCATGGTAGGTACCACTGACCAGGCTCAATTCTGAGCCCACGGCCGTTTTCACACCCCCCTGGTTTTTGAAAAAAAATTTTTGCAGATATTATTGTTCTCGTGGTTTTGAATCGGTTTTTAAATTTTTTTCGATATAAATTTTCTACCTTTGATTATTTGCACAAAGATATGCAAGTCGTACATGTTATTCTCGCCCGTGACAGACGACAAACAAATTTAAAACCTCAAGAAATGTGGGAAAAGACGAGACTTGAATGTGGATTTACAAAGGGTAAGAGACAAATTTTCATTTGAGTTTTTTAATATTTAGACTTTACCTTATTTGACATGAAAATGATAAGCATAACGACGAAACAGACACTCTATTTGTTAATAAAAAAACTTCCTATGCAATACCCATGGTAAAGTGTAAAATGTTCCACTATTTTACTAATTTTAGCAAACTGTACGGTTCACAATCGCAAAATATTTGGTTACAAACTACGAAGCTTTGATCGATATTCAGTCACATATACGAGGATTACGACGGTCTTTAAAGTGCGAACTGTCTAGTGTAATAATGTTTAAAAGGTTGACTCCTGAGGTCTCGTTTTATAAACAGACATAAACCTCTTTTCCAGGATGGCCTGTTTTCTTACAAGTTTTCTCAGTGAAATATCACTCTGAATGAGCAATGTATCTTTATAATGCACCTATCAATGTTAAGCACCAGAGGGAGGGGGGTTGGGCATAGGTGGGGCAATCAAATGCTCCACCGTCGGGCAATAAATATTGGTCAAATGCCCCACCATTTTGCAATAAATTGCAAGAAATACTATGTTAATAAAAGTCATTCGGTTCAAATTGCCCCAACTCAGGGCCAAAGTGCTAATCAAAATCCCCAGGGTGGGGATACAATTGATGATCAAATACCCCACATGTGCCCAACCCCCCCCCCCCTCCCTCTGGGGGTTAACATTGATAGGTGCATAAGTGCACTCATAGTTCTGATACCCCTGGTTTAAGCTAAGGAGTTAGGTCACATTCTTTTGTTTACCTTGCTCATATGCTAATTATGTTACTGGTGGATTTTTGTACAACCTACATAATTAGTCTACTCTTGTTTATTGCAGATTTATCTCACAATGACACATTCCTTTCTGGATGGCAAGTTACAGTACCAAGCCACACATATCTTTGGAAACTGAACATACTATATTTTAACCCATTGAGTGGCATTGCTCCCTGATGCACCCTACTTTAGTATTTTACTCTGTCTAATGCCAGACGATTTTACTCGTCAAGAGGAGAGCGCTGGCGCTATGGGTTAACTGGCCTATCTGCCTATGTTCTAGTTAACCCATTGAGTGGCATTGCACCCTGAAGCACCCTACTTTAGTATTTTACTCTGTCTAACGCCAGATGATTTTACTCGTCAAGAGGAGAGCGCTGGTGCTTAATATGGTTAACTGGCCTATCTGCCTATGTGTCTGTAGTTAACCCATTGAGTGGCATTGCACCCTGATGCACCCTACTTTAGTATTTTACTCTGTCTAACGCCAGACGATTTTACTCGTCAAGGGGAGAGCGCTGGCGCTTGATGGGTTAATACATGCTTCCAGAAATTATGTCACCTTGGCTATATATAGAGTCTCATTTTCACAATTGAGACATTGGACTTTAACTCATGTCACATACATGAAAATGAGGCTCCATAGACAAGGTGAAATACATTCCGGAAGGGTGTATTTGACTTTTTTGAAAAATAATTAGCAGTAAACAATTTAAAAAACAAAAATGTATAATTTTAATTGCTATTAATTTAATAAAACTTATTTACACTTCAATAAAGTTATCATAATCATATAATTATTTATGTTGTTATGCATGGTATTATAATTAACTAATTAATTTTGTTGTTCTGCATGTTTTTCTGCATGTTGATGCCTCAGTGCCATCTCTTGTGTACATTAAACATATAATTTCTGCAAAATAAAAGATGACATTATTATCATGATACATTATACAGTACATCTTTAATACATCACAATATCATATACACATATGTTAACCCTTCACAAGTGCCAAGTGGCAATGTGTCTTGATATGCCTTACTGTATTATTTTAATCTACCTAACGCCAGACAATTTTACTAGTCAAGGGTGCAATTACATGATCTGTTTTTACCAAGACCATTGATCCGAGCTTCAAAATTAAATGTCATGTTTCAGTATTCAGCAATGCAATTACATTCCTAACTAAAATATGTCATCATCATAATTTCTCACAGTCTGTGCCATGGCCAATTGGACATCACTACTCCCAATGTTAGAAATCATTGGGGGGGGGGGGGTAAACCCCTCTAATAGAGTGTTCAACCCCACCAAAATTCCCCTCCCGTTTTGTGTGAAAGGCTTTATAACCCAAACACCTAACCCCTGCCAAAGCTCACTGAGTGGTGCTGCTTGCACCCGGCCACCAGAAATTCTTCTACCCCTCCTTTTAAATAAATGAAAATCTGCCCTTGTTAGAAATGTTGTAGCATTCCAAATTTACTTCATGATTAGTGTATCAGTGACTCACTTAAATTCCGGCAGCTTGTGGGCAACATTTTTGTTGCCAACATTTTTGTTGCCAACAAGCTGTGTAAAACTATATAGTAGTTTTACATAGTTCTAAACAGGCAATGGTGCAAAATGATATCTATTTTTAAGACTCTTCCCTTGATGAGTAAAACATCTGGATTTAATCTCACAGATTGAGTAAAATAAGAAGGTAGCCAGGGTTTATTGCAGTTTAATATTGGGCTGACTATATATCTCAGGGGCTGTTTATTTGCCGATAGTGTAATTATTAACCCACTGTATAATAAAGACAGTCTTTAGGGCTCATCAGGACAGGGCACATGGATTGTCACATGTAGTCTCCTCTACGGCTCAACTCTCTCTGGTCTTGTGCTTATCTA